GATGATATTACATTAAAACAGTTTGCCGGATCTATTGATATGTATTATAGGTACATTATTTACAACGCATTATATGATTATTATTTCGTTAGTTCACAAGAACGCTGAACTTGATTTTAGGAACGTCGCCGTCAATCCTTCGGATGTGACATAATACATTACTGACATTACTGTGCTTAAGTATAAWATCATAATAATTACGTGATATCTGACTTCTCCGACGACGAGATCGATTAAAAACTCATGAAACAGCGAGTCGTTTTCAAAAATCTGAATATACACTGTACCTATATATAATAACTACTATACCTATACAATAATCATATTGGCTCGTCTGTCACTCAACAATTACACGCTTAAAATATACAAAATATGCATTATTACGAGTATATAGTACAACGCTAACCGCTATTCTGCATCTYCTTCAACCTTCTCTCACAGCTGTATGGGGTCGGCCACCCTTGTTAAATACCTCCAAAGAGCTTTATCACATATTCTTCCTTAACTCACGCTCGACATTTTGTGTTATTCATTATTATGTTTAATGTTTATATTCTGCCTCTGAGTCTTCTCTCTCATTCCACATGACCGAACCATCTCAACATCTTCTCACAAATATTGTTCACCTAGATACTACTTGTTTAATAAATTATTGTAGTAAAATAATACAAATAGCAAATGATGCCTGATGCCTGAATGACCAAACAATAAATATTAAATGCTGTTTTAATAATAATTCAATCACAAAAAATGTAGATGCCATTGGCCTGATATTCAGTTATTGGTATCTATCGACTATCATCAATAACCAAAAAGCCAAAAGGCAATAGGTAAATCACAAGATGAATATCTCTCTATACAAGTCTTATTATTATCACAATTTTTATAAGCTTCGCACCCAAAATACTTACCTATTTAAAAAATAACTAGAACAGTGTAGTATCACGTTGCATGTCAAGCGGTTTACTGCCATCAGGGTAGGGTATACTTTTATAAGACAAAAGTACTACCATAAACTAATTATTGGTTAAGCCGCAAAAAGTTTGAGTCTAAGAGTATTATTATACTTCGACAAATTATAATACGGCTGCTGCATGAGTATAATAATATATTTTTATTTGTATACAACACACAAGTATACGAGTAAAACATAATACTGTCTTCCATTAAGAAAAATATTTTTTGTTTTATGTAGATTATTTTTGTTGTACTTACTAAATATTTTGTGCCTGGTATAGTAACTATAACCAACTTRTGCATTATAGCTGTAAATAATGCATTAATATCTAATGATGGTTTAAGTAAAAAATAAGCGCTCAAACGATTTTTTTTTATTATGTATAATTACAGTCCCCTTAAAACATGTACTAATATATTTCATTATGATATATTGTATACATATTTGTATTATGGTTTCAAATGTAATATGGAAACGCGAAATAAAATTAGTAACTGACTGCTAAAAAGAAGTAGGTAGTCGCAAGACACAAAATGACCAGTACATAGATAAAGTGGACCACTAATCAGTACCTACGTCTGTACCGACAAATTTAGTTTTTAATATAGTATGTTTAATATGTTACATTCCTTTAACCTCAGCTAATATTATAATCGTTAATAATTGTACGAATATCTATGGTTATATACTTCCACAGAATCACAGAAATACAGAGTTATTATATGTTATTATTACAGTACCTACCTTATACTAATCTATATTATTAAATTGATCTTACCTATATACAGTTATTTTAGACGTGAATTGGTAACCACATAAACAATGTTATATACTGATACCTGTGTTAATTTATATCCGTAAAAGTTAATAGTTATTAATTATTATACGTATGTACATAAYATATTATGTTGTTTCATTTGAATTTATTTTTTTATTATCTAATATTATGTAAGTATAACAATAATAATAATAACAATGATATG